GCAAAGAATGCGCCTGCAACACAGGAGACCCGGGTTCGATTCCTGGGTGGGAAGATCCGCTGGATAAGGGATAAGCTACCCACTCCAGTATTCCTGGGCTTCCCTTGTGGCTCAGCTGGTAAAGAATCCACCTGCAATGTGTGAGACCTGGGTTCGATCCCTGGGTTGGGAAGATCCCCTGGAGAAGGGAAAGGCTACCCACTCCAGTATTCTGGCCTGGAGAATTTTCATGACTGTATAGTCCATGGGGTCGCAAAGAGTCAGACACTACTAAGCAACTTTCACTTCAAAGCAATAAACATTTTTCCTAGTTATATAAACTTACTGAGAAAAAATTCTTATTCATTTATAACGCTAACACACACAAAAAAAACATTAGTTCTAGAGCTAAGTTAAAAATATTGAATATAGAAAAGAAAGCATAGGTGGGGAATTTAAAAAGGTCAACTTGATTGTCGAGTGTATTCCATCTCACATCCAACTAGTGCAGCATTTTCACTGCAAGGCTTCTGCAACTTAGGATACCTAAGAAGCAGTAATTTCTTTTTGCTTTTGTAAACTTAAATAATTTCAATATTCCCAAAACTGTCATGAACTTACAACCCGACTGAACAGTTGTCATGCTTATCACTCTGCACTGTCTAAACACAACAAACCTACACAAACATTTATACAGGTAACTAATTACAAACAATTATACAAACCAAGCCAGAGTGCCCCCAATACTTGTTTTTTCCCCAGTAGTAAACTGTGTTCAGGAAATGCATTACCCTTTTCATACCATTAGTATATCATTTCACTTCCTGAAGCAGAAGCAGGCCTAATGAGGTATAAACGATATCATGATGTTGTGCCAGGCCTACAGGGCATCCAGAACTGTCGGCAGGGTGTGAGAGATGGTAGCAATCGGACATTCAACATTCCTTCATCATCATGGCTGTCCAAGCAGAGACGAGAGCAACAAGAAGCAGAACCCAAAAAACTGGGGATGACTCCATGATAACATGCATAGTCAAGCAATAATGTACCAAATATGTCTGCTGAAAGTACCAAGGAACATATTCCAAGGACTGTGGTCCTCAACACTAAATACACTGCTCCTTTCTAAAACATGACCACAAACCACAGGTTGCAAGATAAAAAGGTTCATCTTGAATGTTACCAAAAGAAACTGATTACTACAATTAAAAGTATTCGTACACAGAACTTTACGATTTACAAATTACTTACACATACACTGTTTTATCTGACACATATTTTACCTTACTTGATAGAAAGTGTACCTGGCAGATAAATACAACAAAAAATATCATTTGTTATTTTACAGAGGTAGAACCTGAAGCTTGGAGAAATTATCTGTGAGTAATTTGTCTACAAAGCCTGAGTCTTCCTGAAGATTATCAACTTATTTGGTTCAAAGACATGGATCCCCAAAAAAGCAGTCTACAGAGTCTTAAGGTTTAATATATGTCCCTATGCATATAAGAAGTATTTAAAACACTTAAAAATAATGTAACCTTGTGAGAAACACTGAATAGTCAACTATACAAAAAAAAAAATATGTAAGCCTGTCAGTCTGTACAAACAATACACTGTTTTCTAATAATCCAAAGGAGCTTTTGCCTAAGAATTGTACTGCAGTGTTCTCAGGGGTTATGGGCTGCCTTCAGCTGAAAATATCAATTCCTTTGGGTATTTCAGCAGGTAAGTTCCTTACAGAATCAACATATTCCCCGTACACATCAAATTCTGCTTACACGAACTATGTCATATCAAGGCTTCAAAGTCCTCCAAGTTTCTTGTTCAAAAAACTTTTTACTGAGCCCCATCATGTTCTAGACACTCTTCTGAGTATAAGCATACATTAAGAAAAAAGCTTGTGTTATCTGCCATCAGGTAATCAAGTCTTAAGGTATGATAGACAATTACAATTCAGTATGACACTTCCAAATGAATTACACCTGGTTCTTTAAGAATACTTGCAGAGGCACTGAACCCAGCCTGGTGAATCCAGTTAGAATATCCTCAGACCCAAATCTACTAACACCAGCACTTGTCACGGATACATTAAACTGCTAACTGAGCCCAAGCAAGGAACTCCAAATTCTTAAATATAGCTGGAGAAATTGAATATGAAGGGACAGAAAGGCAAACAGTCCCACTAAGAAAAGGTAAATGAAATAATTATAGAGGACCCTACATGCCATCCTAACAATTTTTTGAGCATCTGCTTTGTACCAAGCATCCTAAAATGTTTTCTTGCATTTACTTTTCACAGCAACCCACTGAACTAAGAATAATTACCCTGCAACTCACGGAGGAGGCAAGGAGAGGTGAAATCGCTTGTCAATCTTACTGAGGTTGTAGCAGAGACAAAATAGGAACCCAGTTCAGATTAAATCATAAAAGTGAGCTCATAAACTCTGCACTCTGCTGCCTCTCTTAACGAAAGCTGCTAGGGGGAGCCATTGAAAGGTTTTTAAACTAAGGAGTGAAGTGATCAGATTCATTCTTCAGAAAGACTATGTGGAAGTTGGACACAGAGGGTGCGTCTACAAGCAGAAAGAGAAAGCCGCAATGTCTATAGTAAGACAGGTGAGAACAATGACAGCATGAACTGTGGCAGTGAGGATGAAAGAGACAGATTCAAGAGTTTTTCAGGAGAGAAAATTATCAGTTCTTAGTGATTAAATGTAAAGGATTAGTTTTAGAGAGAACACCTGGTTTGCAGAACTAATGGGACGTGACATCACCTACCAGGAACAGAGAAGCAACAGGTTTTGTTTGTTCAATAAATATCTACAGTGTCTCCCAAATGCAAGACTTTCCTAAGCCAAAGGTCAAGTCCAAAATTAAGGTCCTGCTTGTTGGACAATATTGAGAGTAAATGATAAAGCATTAAAAAATATATCAGGTATACTGAAAATTAGTTGTCACTATTAATATTCTGGTCTAGTCTAGTGAAAACATTTTGTGCTACCATTTTAAAAAATTACTACATGCAGAAAACAAGTCAACAGAGGAAAAGCATCCCACAATTTTAAATGCTATTACATTTGAGTCTGACAGATCTTCAGTCTCTTACACAACACACACATACACACACCACCTTGTAATTTGTTTTACTTATCCATGTCCCTTTTAAGAAAAAAGAAAGAATCAATTTTACTACCCAAACTATAGTACATATTCAAGGGGTTTTCATCCTACTATCACCATTGCGATTTCCCAAGAACTTAGTTCATAACCTTCTACATGATTTTCTATAAAATATGACATACTTCACATCAGCTTATTTCAGTGTGAAAGTGAAGTCGCTCAGCCATGTACAACTCTTTGTGACCCCATGGACTGTAGCCTACCAGGCTTCTCCATCCATGGGATTTTCCAGGCAAGAATACTGGAGTGGGTTGCCATTTCCTTCTCCAGGAGATTTTCCCAACCCAGGGACTGAACCCGGGTCTCCCGCATTATAGGCAGATGCTTTACCGTCTGAGCCACCAGGAAGTCCAATTCTTATTTCAGTAAGAATTCCTAGATTTTTAGCCACACCTTTCATCCAAAGATGCTTTCTGCAAATCCTAAGGCACAGCAGTCCTATGCAGATGTGGCAAGTTACTACAATTCCCATTTTACTACATAGTTAGGAAATTGGCCCAGGGGAAGCAGAGTAACTTGGAAATAATCACAAAGCCAGATGCCAAAAATAACAACTTTTAGTCAATCCATGAGAAAATACTGCCCCTAGTTGAAATAACATGAGATTTCGTATTAGGAGGAAGCAAAATATAAAATCATGTTTTAAAGCAAAGTCCTAGGTTTTTTAGATACATCTTTAAAAATGACTGAATACTACAATTAAGATTTGCAAAAACTTTCAAATACCATTTCCCCCCCTAATACTTTGTCCATCAAGAGTGACAAAGAAAAAAAAGAGTGGCAAAGATTATTTAATGAACTACAGCCGGCAAGAGTGGCTTCCCCTCTCCCCAAATTATTATCTTAGCCACTTAAGATACTTATAGAAATCTGCTGGTATAGAAACACAGGTAAGTTTTAACCTTATTTAAAAACCATATGTTAGAATAGTTGTGAAAATAGTCTAAGTGGGTCTCTCATACTTTTTCCTGAAAATATACTCTACAGACCCATCTGCAATTTGCATGCGCAATAAATTTAAAGCTTTAATAGTCAATAATCTGAAAGTTTCCCAATCACAACTCATGCTGTATGTTTCCAAATATATACTGTTTGATATAATTTAATAAAGGTGCTGTTTTATTTGGTCACGAATAAAGGTCTTACACAATTTAGAAACAAAAAACACAACTTGGTTTTTTTAAAGTTGCTTTTATGATGTTTGTGTTCTCATTCTTATCTGCACAAGTCAGAGCAAAATACCTTCCATTAATACAAGGCATTTACACTTTGCTTGCAGTCAGAAACAACAGTATGTGCTCAAGATTTTACTTTCAAAAGAATGAGTTTGCACTAGGAACAAATAAGGAAGACAAAATGATTGTTGGTGGAATCCACTCATGGAATCCAGACTGCAAATTTTCACACAAGCCTCACGTATCAATTATGAAAGGTGATTTTCAATTAATTAAAATTAAACTAATTCAAACTAATTCTAATCACGGCCTTAAAAAGAATGCTTTCCACAGCACCAATATTCCTCATACTTGTATATCCTCTACTAGTAGCACTTCTCATGGTTTATAAATGAAAAGACACTCCAAATGATTTTATAGACACCATATCTTCTAAAGTAATGATCAACTAGTGGGGGGGGACACCGTCCTGAACAATATATTCAGTCTAGTAACATCGCAAAATCTAATACCTATTATTCCAGGCACCAGAATATTTAGGCAACATTTAAGTACACCAGACCACCTTCCCCCAACTCCCACACAAAACTCCAAGCTTTTAATATTTCCATAACAATAAGCACTCTGAACAAATTAAAGCTCTTTTAACACTAGAAGCCCTTTTACCTTAAAGATTATCACTTAAATGTCTTTTAACTGAATTTGATGAATGCATTCCACAAGATCCTAGAAGCAGTATTCATCAACCCAAACAGCACTCTTAAACGCTTTCCTCATTTCAACTTCAAAGATGAGGCAGAAGGGCTGTCATAAATCTAGAGGCAAAAGCACATAACTGTAAACTATCTAAAAATTAAGAAAAGGTAAAACAGTTGTATCAAATTCCAAAGCAGCAAAATTCCCTCCCTTTTTCCTTGCAAAGTGGGAGTTACTGGTAAAATAACTGAACTCTAAATCTAGAATCTTGAATGCTGAAATTCTCCACCCCAGCATTCACAAGTTTTTCAACACCAAAATGCACTCAACTGCTACGCACACACCAAATGAATATCCAACATGAAAACTGAAAGTATTCTCACACATCAACAAAAAAAATACACCTTGCGCCTCTACAACACCCTCAGCTAATCCAGATGCAAAGCTACGACAGCCGCCCTTGGCCTAGGCCGTCAGAAACCTTGGGGCGGGGGGGGGGGGGCAATAATCAAGAGACCAAGATCTTTTTCTAGTGTTTTCAATTAAGTTTTCAAGCAAAACAACCAGGCGCCCAAAGAGACCGCGAAGAAAACTGCAGATACTGTAATCCCGAGAGAAAGGGGTGGTAGGAAGGTGTGCACGCAATCCCGAGAGAAAAGGGTGCCGGAGAGGAGGAGCGCCAAGGAGGAAACTAAGTACCCGCACGCATCTTTGAGACCCACAAAAACAACAACAAACCGTAGGGTCTGTCTTCTCGTAGAAACACCAGATGGAGTCCCCGGGGCTGAGACAGTTCAGCCGACAAACACCGTGGGTAGTGGATAAATCAACCGATGATGGGAGGTTAAGAGGGTGCCAAGCAAATAAGCCACTGGATGGGGGAGACAAAGCCTCCGGGGGTAATCACGGACCAACCAGAAAGGTGAGAGGGAAACGCTCCAGAGAAATACAGCAATAAAAATTGAAAGAAATCTGTTGCCTGGGCTGTGGCAGGTCACTAAGCTACCTAATAGAGAGGGGGACAACAAAGGGGTCCAGGAGGAAGGACAGCTGAGGGAAGGAGAAAGGATGCGGGGCGCGACGGGTCGGACAAAGCGCCCAGGGCGGCGAAACAAAGGGCCGGGGGTAAAGAGTAGCGGGGGGCAGCGGAGAAAGACAAAGCGCACGGCACCGGGGGCACCGGCCCGGCGAGAAGGCGACAACGGCCCCGAGGAACAAAGCTGCGCGGGGCTGGGAGGCAGGGCCGGCGAGCGGCGGCGCGGAAGGCTCGCGACACCGCCCCCGCGGCTCCCGGACGCCAAGCGTGCCGCGGCCCTCGAACCCGCCGCCCGCTGCGGGGTGCTGGACGCCCGCAACTTTCCCAGTTCCCTGCGCTCGGATTCCCCAAGACTTACCCTGTCACAACAGGCGCCATCTTCCACAAACTCTCGCCAAAACTCCAACCCTCGCGAGATTCCCCCGACGCCTTCCCTGGTCCCTCTCCCCCGCCCCTTCCCTTTTTCCTCACTCCTCGATTCCACCCAGCCCCCGCGCTCCTTTTCCCCTCGCAGCAGCCGCAAAGAGCCAGACGCCTCGCGCCGCCAACAGCTTAGGGAATCCAGCTCGCTGCCTTCCCTGGAAACCTACCCAAGCGATGGAGCATGCGCAGGCGGCTCCTCCGCAGGCGAACCCTCCATCTGGTCCATAGGGAGCGCTCCGGTTATCCGGGTTTTGGGACGCGCCCTGAGGGACGTACGTGGAGACTGAGGAAAACCGGAGGGGATTACAAGGGGACGGGGAATGGAGGGGTCAGGAGGCGGAGCCCAGGGTAGAGAGGAGGGGTCCTGGGAAAATCTGCCGCGTTTCACAGGCCTAGATGAAACACCTCCTCAAATGGGTGTTTTCCAAGTGGCTTCCCGCTCACTTTAGTTCCCAGCCCTTTTCATTCATTCACACGTTCATTGGACGCCTTCTTTATGGTAATGTCAGCGTCAGGTACTGGAACTACAAAGATGCCTGGAGTTCGGAGGAGTAACTAACCAGGAACTTAGTTCATTCGACCCTCTGGGTAGCAGACAGACAAGATTACAACGTGGTCCGAGCCACCAGAGCTCTCTGTATGAAAAACTTTTTTGAGGTTGAACTCTATTGCCTTAGCTTTCTTCTCCTTGGGTGTGAAATAAGGTCAGGCCAAGGCCTCTGGCAAAGTCACCACTACTGTGTCCACCTGCATACAGACGCCGGGGCGCTGCGAAGCTTTCTCCAGAAGTGAAAACTGTACTGTAATTGAAAGCCACCACTGCCCCGGCCAGCACGTAACTCAGAGGTTCTACTTGAGCAGGGAGCTACCTGTCGCGTAAACCTCCCCAGGACCTCATCGCAGACCCAAGACGTGTGTGAACCCGGGTGCTATATGGGGACAGACTCTGACAAGGTCCTCCCGTGGGCCTGGCAGAGTGGAGGACACAGCTCGCTCCCCTAAGTGTATCTCAGGCGACCTAAACCGGTAAGCCCCAGAGCAAATTTGGCTTGTCTGGGCATACAAGAAAGGTGCAGGACTCTTTACCCGCCCTCCCAACCTGCAGCACCCCTTTCTCACCCCCCCCCCACCCCGCTTTGCCCTTTCAATTCCTAGAGATTCCCAGATCCAGCGCTGCCTCCGCAGGGAGCCCCAAAACCCGGAGTACTGGAATCCACAGCCCGAAACCTGCTGAAGGCTGCAGGATTGGCGCGACACGCGCGAGCGGCACTGCGCATGTGCCCAATGCGGGCAGCCCCGTCTCACGCTACACCTCCTTCCCACCGCCTTCCACTACTCGATTCAGACACAACACGGGCCGTGGGAAATTTCTTAAACCTCGCGAGAACGCGCCCACTGTTGTCTATGCTTTTGCCCCAAATCTCGCGGGGCCCAGGCGGGACAGGTGTTTGTCTAGTGCAGCTCCCAGCGCCGTTCGTGCCGCGCGTGCCCGGGCGGCGGGCGGGGTGGGAAGGGAACGGCTCGCTGAGGAGGCGGGGCTGGGGGGCGCGTGGCGGGGAGCGCAGGGCGGAGGGCGGCTGGGAGGGGCCCGACGTCTCGCACACACAAGCCGCGTGACGCTTTGTGGAAGGAAAGTGGGGGTGGTGGAGGGGCGGATTCTAAAAGAAGGGGAAACCTGGAGATTAGAAACTCCTGGTGCGGATGGTAAGAGGTCAGACTCGAGGGCAGGAGGAGCCCTGGGCCGCTCCCCGGGGAGGTTTCCTGTCGCCCTCCACGCGCCTGGTACTTTCCTAAAATGTGTTTGACGCCGCGCCCCCGGCCTCCGGGAGCTGACAGCCCCCAGTGTCGCGTTTGAGTCATGCCTCTGAGTCACCCAGTCTGGCCACCACTTTACTTGCTTTAAGACAAGTTTGGATTCTCTTAGCTACTCTCTGATAGCAGTTGGTTGTTTTCTGTCTGAGGTACCTGCTGGTCTTGCTTGTTAGCTAGGGAAAAAGTGCTGCTCTCTCTGCTCTGACGTTGTACACTTGTATCGATTTCGCCTCCCGTTCAAGGACGCATTTAAAAATTTTCTTCCCGCTAATCTTTTTTAGACTTCCCTGCTAGCTCAGACGGTAAAGAATCAGCCTGCAATGCAGGAGACCCCCGTTGGATCCCTGGGTCGGGAAATGCCCCTGGAGAAGGGAATAGCTACCCACCACAGAGTTCTTGCCTGGAGAATCCCTTGGACAGAGGAGCCTGGAGGGCTGCAGTCCATGAGGTCGCAGAGTCTAATCTCTTTTTGCCTTTTGAAGTAATCCCTATGTATTAGTTTCTGTTCCTTTTTTTTTTTTTTTCCTTTTCTCCAGTTATATGACTTACTGGTTTTGCTTTCCTTCATCTTTTTATGTGATTGTTGAAATATTCATTTCGAATTTTGGATATCGTTTTATCAGGTGCTTTAGTCACAACTCTTTTAAGTGCGTTCCTTCCTTTTGGATTGTTTGTCCAGTAAATTCCTGTTGAGATTTCTTCAATCAGGCACTTTTGAGATTGTCTTCGTGTGGTTTCTGTACCAGTCTAGCCTGGCATTATCTCAGAACTGGTGTCTTGATGACATCGTAGACCCGCAAATGAAAAATTAAATTGAGTTTTTGAATTTGGGAAAACAGCGACGACTCTAATACAGAGTTCATATTCTGCTAGTTATACCGTGGACGAGAAATCAAGTTTTTGAATTGTTTTCAAGGTTATTAGTTGTATGTGTGCATGCACATTTGCCTATTCATTTGATTAAGTAGTTCACAAAAGGAAAGAGAAAATTAAGAATCTTTAATGCGGTATCTCAGTGCAAAGCTAATTTGGATTAGGCTTGCTTCAAGAGAACAGTGCCCATGGGCACACATTCCTTCAAAGGAATCAAGCCTTTATCCCAAGAAGGCATTACAGTCATGGTCTGGTCTAGGCTATTCATCTGATCTGGAACCATTGCCATCTAAGAGCCCTAGCCACAGAAAGTCATGGTAACCATAGTAACTCAAATTAGGACTCCCATTCACCCTACTACATGCACTACCTGTGTTCTTCCCCGTCCTAGTAAAGGATATTCCATCCTTCCATTTAAGCCAAGAACCCTGGAGTCATTCTCATTTCCTTTCCTTCTCACATCCAACATTCAACCTAACAAAATCTTGCTGGCTCCGCCTTCAGAATAGACTCACAGTCCAAACACATCCACACCTCTATGGCAACCGTCCCAGTCTAACCCATCTCATTTCTCACCTGTTGTCCAGGAAGTCTAATAACTGGTTTGCCTTCATCCATTTTGCCTTTTCTCAGTCTGTTTTCAGTAGACAATTCAGTGTAACTCTCTAGAACTCTCCAATGGCTTTCCTACTTTCCTATGAGGCCTACTGCCCAAACCCCATACCTCAACCTCATCTCTTCCCCTTGCTCATTGAGCCCCAACCAGCATCGTTCCTTGTGTTCCTGGGATGCACCAGGCGCACCCTCAACTCCTATCTTTGCTCTTTTCCCTAGATGCCTTATAGATCCTTCCTTTACTGCTTTCAGGTCTTTGTTTAAATGTCACCTTTCAGCGAGCCCTTCCATGACCCCCTTCACAAAAGTAACTCTTCTTACTCCCTGTTCCCTCCTTCTTTATTTTTCCCATGGTCCTAT